TTTTTAAACTTAAGTTACTTTTTTTGGACAATGCACATTTGTTTCTTCTATATTTAAATTGCATTGAAAGTTTTCTTATTGTGCAAATAAACCTTTCTCAAAGCAGTTTCATTTGTTAGTCACCTTTTTTGGTGCAAAGTATTTTCAGAACATTTTTAACAAATGCTTATTCAAAAGTGGTGGGGACATGTCCCCAGCGTCCCCAGTGTAAATGACACCTCTGAGAACAGATCACAGCAATCTCCCAGAACAAGATAGGCCTGATGAAGGGCTGGACAGCGTCAGGCTCTGACATGAATGATCCACACCTACTGGCTGAAGAAAATAACTGCACTCCATGAACACCTGGCAGCATAAATTAACCAACTGCTGATGGTTGGGACCCACCCAGAATGGTAACCCAAGGACAGACAGTCCTGATCATGAAGGATCTCCAAAAGGGAACAATCCCATTCAACTACCGGCCAATAACCTGCCTCTGCACAACATGGAAGCTCATTGCGGCTAAACTCTTCTCCTTGTTTGCTTCTGTAGCACAGCATGCTGCGTGCATCGTGTAATTCTTCTGCGCATGTGGGTCACTTTTAGGCTGCGGACAGTACACACTGCAGTCTGATATGGGCCATATTCAAACAGTAATGTGAACTTTAAAACAAAAAAAATCGGATCTGGGAAAAAAACTGAATTGAGCATTAAGGCCTGCAGTGTGAACGTAGTCTAATAGCCTTCATCAAGAACTCAATGGGGCTGTGGAAAACAAGTGTGGAAGGCTTATTCAAAGCCTAAGTCACCATTAAGTGCGTAATATATCATTGTGATGCACTATCCGCCCTGCTCAGCCAGATCATCACAAAGAGTGGCTATGGATACCGGTTCCGGAGTGGAACAACCATGGATGACATCAAGCTGTATCCCAAGAATGGACTGATCCACACTACCAGGATATACAGCAACGACACTGGAATGTCATTCGGACTGGACAAGTATGGTCGGATGGTATCAAAAAGAGGGAAGATGATGATAACCGGACCCAAGCTTGAGGATGACACATACATGAGAGGGGAAGATATTTTATATATATATATTAGTGTTGGGCAACAATTCGCGATTTATCGCAGTTACGCACACAAATGAATAATGAATTGTAAAGTAGTGTATTGCGCACTTGTAATTTAAATGCACTGCTATATACACAAAAGTGCAATAACATGTGGTTTGCAAAACGCTTTAAACAAATAATGTGCTTTTTACCAGAAGTATTCCCTTTACTCAGCACCAATAAAATATCACCTAACCCTATACCTATAACCTAAACATTAATGTAATCAAATCAAATATTAACCCAAAGCTATTTGCCACTGCCAGGGCATTACCTTTTATCTAGCTTGTTAAAACAAGTTACCATCAGAGTCCAGTTTTCTTATATATTTTTTTCTGAACAGGTATTAGGTATCTTTTATCAGGAAGCAGCAGAAATACTATACCAACATGGTGCGTTCCATTTGACATGGGAAGTCAGAATTTCCGAGTTTCCAGTTGGTCAGTCCCGTATGTTCAGTAGGGTTGGGACGTCAACATTCAAACATCGGGATGGACGACGGCAGGGGGCTGGGGGTGTAGCGGTCGTCTTATGCGCATGTGTTCACTGGCACAGACTTTACTTGGTTAAAAACTTGAAATGACGTTACAAGTCGCGGTCGATATTTTACAAGCACGGACCAGGTAACGTTAAAGCAACATTGAACTCACAGTGTGCAGATTTTGGTTTCGGCTGTTTGAGTTGTTTGATAGGCAGCGTCACTAACAAGCAAGCTGCTCACCTGCTGCAGTGATAACGGATCGCGGGTGGAAAAATACGGAAAAGAGATGACAGCGTAGTCTGCTGAAGCCTAATTAATGCGATAATAACGCGTTAACTTGCCCAGCCCTAATACACACGCGCGCGCGCGCGCGCACACACACACACACACACACAGTCACAGGAAGAAGTATGTGATCCCTTTGGAATTACCTGACTCATAACAACCTCACCTAACTCATAACAATAGACAAAAACAGTCTGTTTAAATTAATAGCATACAAACAATTATATGTTTTTATGTATTTATTGAATATACCATGTTGAGAAAGTGAGCGATAGGGAGTGGCAGAGAGTGACTGAATGAGTGGAGCAGTGATGTTGTCAGTTTAGCAGTAAATGTAGAGTGTAGCTTACAGTTTGTCATCGAATAAAGGCTGCAGTTTCTCGAGATAAAAGTAAAGCTCCTGTGTGAGTGTTGCCAATTACTGGAAAAGTGAAGGGGTTTATGGCATTGTCACTTTCAAGATGATGTCAGGCAGTTTCACAGTCGGCCTGTGGGTACTATCTGAAGTGGAAGTAAAGAAAGTATTTGGTACCAAAAGTCAAGTCAAGTTGAGCCGTACCATGCAGTGGAAACACAGCATACATTTTTTTCCCTGCATTGTATTGTCCATCAACAACACTTCAAAAATTCAAGCTGATTTAGTATGCATACTGAAATCTTTCAGTATACTTAATTTATTCCAGTGTAAACACAAACGACATACACAAAACCTGCTTAGAATTAGTATGTGGAATGGAACTGAGACACAGGTAATAATGCTTACTCATTGTGGTTTCTTTTCTTTTAATGTGGGTGGAGAAGTAAGTCACTTTGCCTCTTTTACAATCAGTTGCTTGCCTGTGTGAACACCAGTGCAAGCTAGCAGCTCTAGAAAAAGACCTTTTCCATTCTGACACCAAAGCCTGATGTTTAATGAGTAAATTAGAGCGCTGTAACATTTCCAGCTTTCAATCTCCATGGTACAGTAGCTGCTGGAAATATCTTGGCATGACATTACATCAATTTTTGCTCGTGAAGATTGATTGAGAGTGTGAAAAAACCCAGTGATGCAACATATAACCACAACAGTTCATACACGCTCCCACCCCTTCAGACTCCAGCTGACCAACATACACATAGAAGTCCAAACATTACAGGAGCTTACAAAACGTACACTGTTACATCCTTACCAATAAATACAAAAAAAAGAATCTCCACAAGGTGGTCATAGCAGATAGCTCTGCTATACCAGCCCTACCATCTAAACATGCACAATGTGTTACATGCATTAATGTAACTGGATTGATATAATTATGCAGTTCATAGTTGTTAAATGCCCACATTGCATTTCTACAATGTTGATTCTTGCTCCTCCAACCATACATGACTCTGTTTATCAAAAACAAAAAAAATAACTGATTTTCAGAAGTTCATTCTTCCATTCCTGTCTTTTAAGCGTAGGTATTGTTTCTCTGCTTGCAGATAAGGCTTTCTGTACATCATGTTTTCCTGCAGAGCTACATACAGAATGAACCAAACATCTACTCAAGTGTGGATGCATTAGAAAACAGTTGACACTGCATCTTTTTCTACAGTATATCTAAAAAGGATAGGCACTTTGTTTTAAAACATAGCAAAGAACTCAAGTAAGAAACATTAGACCTGAAACCATGGCAGACTGTAAGCAGTTCACAAAAAACACACCTTACAAAAAATGCATATAATGAAAAGAGGACATCTATAAGGACATTTTATATAAAACAAATCAGTCATGTACTTTTTACTACTGTACTTCTCTCTTGAAGTTTTTAAGAAATGTTTAACAGACAAAACAACCATCGCTGTGACAGTACGTCATCTGTTCGATTGACACAAAGGGAATGTCATAAAGGATTGGACATAATCATGGAATGTCCTAACTAAACAAGAACAACACAGCAGTACAGTGTCATAATGTCAGTGTCATTTTAAACGACCATTTCACTATTGATCTGCCTTCCGTCCTGTTTCCATGCTATACTGACTCTCAAACACACTTCAAACCTTCAGCTGCTACTAGAATCAATAAATAACTTACATCTTTAAAAAACACAATGGATTGTTATACAGTGTGTTGTGCAGTTGGCTGTAATAATGTGGAAAAAGGTAAAATGTTGCTGATAAAGAAAACACAACTCATTTTGAATGTGGTATTGTCTTTAGCCATATTCATATTATTGTGCTTTTGCATGCGCCTCTTCCATTCTTGTGTATGTGCTGCACAGAGTGAAGCCCAAAACTGCTGTTTGGGTCTCTGCAGTGATCTGACTACAGTAAGCAATGTTCACACTGTAGCACGTACATCTTTGCATGATGATAGGTTACAAAACTAGCAAATGCCGGTAGTTAGAATCTAATATTAAAGCTGCACTTATTTACAATGGACAAAATATGTACGTGTAATGTGAAATGTGTGACAAACCCACAGAGAATTATCACCAACTCTGCGGTTGCCTTTAACCACAGGAGCTTTAGCTTCTCTCAGGTCATTGTTTTGGTTTGACACAAACTTTGTCATTGTGTTGTCATTGTTATTGATGTGATTCAGTCCCACCACTCTCATCAACCTTGTTTCCAGCAGCAGCAGGCAGCTGCAGTGAAAAAGCTCTGATAAACCCACTGTACACTACCTGCTTAGTACACCAGCAGACAGACACAGAGACTAGAAGGTGGACATTTAGCAGCTAAAGAGCCAGATGTTGGTGGAGATCAAACCAGAGCTACAAGGAGAGCCACTACTGGACTTACATTCTCAGGTAGTCAGAAACTCAAAGTTAGTGATATTGTTGCTTTGTGTCTGCTGTATGTGTAATTAGGCTACTGTTTGCTTACATGGTAGCCTTATCAATGTTATAAGATATGTCAACGTTATGTTTATAGCTTTTTGTCCTGCCCCAATTGGCAGAATAAAAACAATTAATGCAGCTTTTTGCAAATTGCTTTTAGCAAAATTAAGCCAAACAGTTAGCTGCATAGACCCCCTGCTCCCGTTGAAGAATCCTGTTTGGAGCAAAGCAGCATGCGCAATGCATGACCCTCATTTTTTTTGCATTAAAGTGAATAAAGATTTAATGCTCAGTAATTAGAAACAAATCACCCTGAAGTGAAACAGCAAAATAAATCAGCACTTCTGTTTACTTGAATGGTTTCCCTGAAATACAGACTGGAGTTATGAATGACACAGCAGGTCTGGTGGTCAAGAGATATAATCTTCTTGTATAGTCTAGTCTATAGTGTTCATCATGTAAAGCTGTTTGAGTGTCAATATAGTGGTGTCAATAAAACACAGAAGTCAAAGCAAAATCAAGAACAGCTACTGCAAGACACCTCATATTGGCCGACTCTATTGTTTCATAATGCTACATGTCCTTTGATAAAGACGACACATTCAAATAATCCACTTCCAGCTTTCTCTCTGTTCTCCCTAAGCGTTGCTCTCCGAGTTAGAATTAAAATACAGCATAAAACACACACAATGACAATGTAAACTAAATCCTTCAAAGAAGATGATAAAACTCATCACAATTCCTCAAATATGCATTCTAAAGGTTATTTTAAAGCCATGCTAGCACCATTCGTCTGCCTCTGCCTCCTGGTAATACCTGGATGCCCTGAAGCCAGAGCCTGGGCTGGTCCTGCCCCCGAAGCTGAAGTGGTACCCGTTGGGGACCCCAAGGTTCTGTGGAGCAGGAGACAGGGCTCCCATAATGCGAGGCAGTGTGGTCCGAGATGAATGTCCGGCACGGGGGCTGGACAGTGACACCGCATCCTGGAAGACATCCAGCTGGTCTCGGAGGCTGCCATACAGGCTGCCCAGGTCCTCACCGTGGCCCTGGCCCTGGCCCAGGAAAGGTTCTGAGCTAATACGAGTGACAGGAGAGGGAAAGTGGCGGGAGCTGCTGCGCTGGACAGAGTTGTGCTCTGACAAGCCACGGCTCAGCTGGCCGGGACTCAGAGACGCCTGACTGGACACAAAGTGCACGGGTGATGAATTGGCAGTCTTAAAGGCCACCCCAGGCTGCAGGGCAAGCGGGGTCTGGGGGAGCTGCCGACGTCCGCGACTTGGCGTGCTGGAACTGGAGCTCAATGTCACTGGGCTGCCTTTAACCCAACCACTGCCCTAGATGAAAATTGGACAAACAATTTGAACGATGAGGAAAAAATGGAATAGAGGAAAGGAAAAGAGAAGGAAACAGAGACAGGGAAAGGAAAGAGACACCAAAATGTTTCATGTGATGATGCAATAGATGGCAGAAAACAGATAAGGGTGAAAATATAGACACAGGAGACAGAATGAAAGAACAAGCACTAATGCAAATATAATGACAGACAGACAAAATGGATGGAAAATGAGGATAAGAGAAAGTGGGAAAAGAAGTGAAAGGCCATGAGAGGCTGCACTAAAGGCAGACAGAGGAGAAAGTAGCAGTAAGAGCATGCAGAGGAATCGCAACAGTCTGCATTCAATTTCACTTTTAATTCTCTCTTTCTCATAAACTGTTGCAACAGCAACTGGCAGATAAATCTCTTCCCATTTTAGTGGAGCATCTGAACAGGACACACAGACTAACAGTCTCTATAATGTTTTACTGATATCACAAGAGAACAGGATGTTGTCACTATCTGATATGATGATTTAAAATAATGTCAAACTGGATAAAGCCAGAAGGTATAAAAACTGAATGAGAAGTGTCAGAAGTTACTGTAGGAATATGTTAAGATATTACACTGGTTTTATCAATTTAATGTTAATCTGGCTATTAAGTTACTAACTCACTGGATCTGTGTTTAAGTTGCTGTAGGAAAATTATAGGAATAGACTATAATATTTGTCTCATCTAATAGCTCTGTGACTGTCGTAACTACTTTAGACGTTATTTAGTCTTACCTTATGTTAAATCATTCCCTCATTACTTCTGTCACAGTGCAGCACTCCTCTGATTGCACATCATTGACAGCTGTTCTATTAACATTTAGGGTCTGAGCATGAAAAGTGACCCTATTGGAACCTATTGGAACTGAATGAATTATTTTCCTGTTTCATGGCAAATCATCAATTTTTGATGCCACACACAGTGAAAACTTACAATTTTTCAAAGAAGTTGATTGGATTAATTGTCTAGGAGGAGTTTTATGGAGCCATTAAATGCAAAATGGCAGCCTTTCTGCTCCAAGATGCTTTTATGTACGTCTGGACATGATACATCTGCTACAAAATCGCATTTGTGACCCGAACATGCTCGAAAACTCACAAAACTTTGCACACACGACAGATGGGGCAACAATTTACATGTTATATTATTATATTATTATTGTTTTTTCATGCATGGGTGTGGCAAAATGGCTTGCTAGTGCCCACTAAAGAGCAGGTCTCGCGAAGGTTTCCCGAGACATATGAAATTTTTGTAGCAGATGTATCATGTCCAGATGTACTCCAAACTAAAAAAACTGAAAACACTTTAGAAATCCCCTTAACCAGTCTTTAGATGAGGGTCTAAACCCTACTTTACATGCCTGTGCCATCCCACCTGCTTGTTGGTGGTTTCCTGTCCCTCACCAGGGGAGGCAGCACAGCTGGCGGTGGCAGATTGTTGTGGCAGTGTTCCCGACTGCAGTAGCGATCGCAGGAGTAGTAGCGCTGCTTGTCTGTCGAGGAGTGGTGGTGTTTCCTCTCATGGGAGCGTCCGCGGTCATGGCCTCGCTCTCTGGAGGCAGCTGGGTCAGACGCTGGCTCTCCTGGTGGACCTATGGAGGAGGACAATATTGCAGGGGGAAAGGTAACTTTTCTCTATTCTAGACAGCACTAGCTAGTCCTGACCTGTGACTTGGGTTCATAAAGGCTTTGAGTCTTCTTGTCAAGGCATTTATTTCTGTTCAGTAAGAAGCAACAATCTTAAGTCAGCATTCATAGCAGTCATTTTTACTTGTCATAGAAGGAAAAGCACAGGTGTTTCTAATGGAAATATTGGTTGTTTTGCTCTATTCAAAAGTCCTAGTAAGTAATGACAGCTTAACAGTGAGCCAGCACTTAAAATACCAGGATCCTGAAACTGAATGGAATTCAGCCAAATTCTTGAAGTTGTACTGCACTGGGCGGTTAGGGTCTCTTAGTTCCATGTGATGTGCATGTTCCTTGCATTGTAGCGTTTGCTATTGGTGTATGAATGTGTGTGAATTAAGATTAAGATACTTTATTAATCCTGCAAACTCAATGTTTTCACTCTGTTATTATGTTAGTATTTACAGTGCCTTGCGAAAGTATTCGGCCCCCTTGAACTTTTCGACCTTTTGCCACATTTCAGGCTTCAAACATAAAGATATAAAACTGTTATTTTTTGTGAAGAATCAACAACAAGTGGGACACAATTATGAAGTGGAATGAAATTTATTGGATATTTCAAACCTTTTTAACAAATAAAAAACTGAAAAATTGGTCGTGCAAAATTATTCAGCCCCTTTACTTTCAGTGCAGCAAACTCTCTCCAGAAGTTCAGTGAGGATCTCTGAATGATCCAATGTTGACCTAAATGACTAATGATGAAATAGAATCCACCTATGTGAAATCAAGTCTCCGTATAAATGCACCTGCTCTGTGATAGTCTCAGAGGTCCGTTTAAAGCGCAGAGAGCATCATGAAGAACAAGGAACACACCAGGCAGGTCCGAGATACTGTTGTGGAGAAGTTTAAAGCCGGATTTGAATACAAAAATTTCCCAAGCTTTAAACATCCCAAGGAGCACTGTGCAAGCGATAATATTGAAATGGAAGGAGTATCAGACCACTGCAAATCTACGAAGACCCGGCCGTCCCTCTAAACTTTCAGCTCATACAAGGAGAAGACTGATCAGAGATGCAGCCAAGAGGCCCATGATCACTCTGGATGAACTGCAGAGATCTACAGCTGAGGTGGGAGACTCTGTCCATAGGACAACAATCAGTCGTATACTGCACAAATCTGGCCTTTATGGAAGAGTGGCAAGAAGAAAGCCATTTCTTAAAGATATCCATAAAAAGTCTCGTTTAAAGTTTGCCACAAGCCACCTGGGAGACACACCAAACATGTGGAAGAAGGTGCTCTGGTCAGATGAAACCAAAATCGAACTTTTTGGCAACAATGCAAAACGTTATGTCTGGCGTAAAGGCAACACAGCTCATCACCCTGAACACACCATCCCCACTGTCAAACATGGTGGTGGCAGCATCATGGTTTGGGCCTGCTTTTCTTCAGCAGGGACAGGGAAGATGGTTAAAATTGATGGGAATGGATGGAGCCAAATACAGGACCATTCTGGAAGAAAACCTGATGGAGTCTGCAAAAGACCTGAGACTGGGACGGAGATTTGTCTTCCACAAGACAATGATCCAAAACATAAAGCAAAATCTACACTGGAATGGTTCACAAATAAATATCCAGGTGTTAGAATGGCCAGGTCAAAGTCCAGACCTGAATCCAATCGAGAATCTGTGGAAAGAACTGAAAACTGCTGTTCACAAACGCTCTCCATCCAACCTCACTGAGCTCGAGCTGTTTTGCAAGGAGGAATGGGCAAAAATTTCAGTCTCTCGATGTGCAAAACTGATAGAGACGTACCCCAAGCGACTTACAGCTGTAATCGCAGCAAAAGGTGGCGCTACAAAGTATTAACTTAAGGGGGCTGAATAATTTTGCACGCCCAATTTTTCAGTTTTTTATTTGTTAAAAAAGTTTGAAATATCCAATAAATTTCGTTCCACTTCATGATTGTGTCCCACTTGTTGTTGGTTCTTAACAAAAAATTACAGTTTCATATCTTTATGTTTGAAGCCTGAAATGTGACAAAAGGTCGAAAAGTTCAAGGGGGCCGAATACTTTCGCAAGGCACTGTACACACAGGTCCGAAAGACACATGCACATGCACAAACAGGACCCATAGCAACACACGGAGAGATGTCAGAGCAAGGGGGCTGCCACTCAGTGCGGCGCTCCGAGCAGTTGGAGGTTCAGGGGCTTGCTCAAGGCGTCCTTTGGCAGTGCCCAGGAGGTGAACTGGCACCTCTCCAGCTACCATGCAACCCTCCAGTTCCCAGCCTAATCCTTACTGACGGAGCTACTGTCACCCCCATAATGGGGTGGATGTGGAATGTACTGTACTTTGAATGGTCAGACGTCTAGAGAAGCACAGAGTACAGTACCATCCATTTAATATTGTCATCACCATAGATAATGGGATCTTTAAAGTCTTAAAGT